AGATAAGCCATTGTAGCATACTGTCCAAATTCTGTTAACATTTTGAAGCTGTTCAGTAATGGTACGACATTAAATAGCAATTAAAAAAATAAAATTTATGTAAATTTAAAAAAAAAACTGATGTGGCTTTGTTAACACATCATTTTGCTAATAAAAAAACAGTGACAACCCAAAATCTCTAAAACTAGGGGTTTAAAAAATTGACATGGATACATTTAAATTTTATAGTCACAATTTAAAATAATCAGGGATTATTTTTTTATGATTTTTAACGACTTTCTTATTTTAAAACATTTTTCACTTTTAGATATTGTAAAAAATAGTTTCTAATATTAAGTTCAACAACCTAAAATTTGTAACAGACCCATAAAAAGTATGGGTTATCACCAAAGTAATCTGAGTAAAAATATGGTATCGCCATAGTTTCTTTCCATTGTACAAAGATCAGGTAGTTTGTTTTAGTTATTGTATTTAAATATTATTACATAAATGTTTAGTTCTCTCCGATGACTGCACAATGGTTATAGAATTTATTTGGGAACATTTAAATAAAGATGCGATTATTTTATTCGACACTTTCACTTGCCACGCTCGGCTTGTATTATAATTTCCTTTTCATTTTGGGCCATAATAATTATGTGATTATACCAAACTTTTACCTTTTAGATTAATAAAATTTGGCAATTGTAAATAAAACACATTGTTTTATTTATACTTGATATATTATCTATGTATACTTGTCAACCCTTATGTTATACATTTTTATACAGGGTGTCCCGAAAATGCTGCACCCACGATATTCCACGTTGTAAATGAAGTTTAATTTAATTATAATTATTACAAAAACAAGTTGACAAGTGGTTTCGTGTTATTAAGCATGTAAATCTATATAACTTGTGTATGTACATATAAATTTGCGTTCGACTATTTTTAGTAAAATAGTCGGTCTTTTTATAGCTACTTATGTTATTTTTACTAACTTTTAACTTTTTATTTTTGAAACGTCATTAGGAAATTGTATTTAATTCTTTAAATAACTATTGTTAAAAAATGTTCCTAACTAATAATTTTTCTCCAAAGAAAAAAAAACAATTTTTAAATCTTTATAAATCCAAAACCATTTTTAGAAGTAAAAGTTGGATTTTTGTGAGCTTAAATGTGATTTATCCTAATTTCTAACAACAGTAAAATTGTTTAAATAACATGCATAACCGTAAGTTTATGTTTAGGAACAAAAATGAGCTTTGACAAAAGATTGAAATTTTTGGATTTTATAATTTATAAAATTTTAAATAAATGTTGTCTTCGAACTTAATGTTTTTTACAGTACAAAATGCTATATACTTTTAATTAAAACTGTCTAACAAATCTAAAATTTTGCCACATTCTGTGATGAACTTAAATTGTATAAATTAAATTGTTCTACGGTAATAAAGTTATCATAATTAATGTAATTTTAAAATAAATAAAGGTCATTGTTTATACCGTGAAACTTGTCCCTGGTCATGGCTCAACAGATTTCTTTTTTTGATTCGACATAAGTTAAAAGAAATCTATGTTAATAAATGCGCAAATTTTAAACATTTTTTACAACGACTGCGAAATAATAGATAATGTCTGATTAAGTATATTTAAAAATAAATATGAGGGTAGGGTACATTAAAAAGTTTATACAATTTATAAATTAGCTTAAATTAAAAACATATTTTTTTGTTTCAGGTAAGCCAGATCGGTCATCATTAGAAGGTAAAAAATATAAAAATAAATGTTATATAATGTTAAATTAATACAGGTGAATAAAATCTTTTTATGAGCTGTTCTAAATAATACATGATTAAAATAAATAAATAGTTAACTACACAAAGACAATACATTACTTTTATTTTTTAACTGGACACTGTTTAGTACGCGAAATAATTTACTGTTGCTTTAATCTGAGTGGAATATAATTTTTACACAAACTAAGAAGTTTGTACAAATATACGTATATTATTATATTATTTTTAGAAAATAATCAACTATTTGAAAAAAATATTTAAAAATATTTTATCTTATTGTACCTAAGCAAAAAATAAATCCATAGTAAAAAAGCCATATTTTATGTAAAAGTTCAAAAAAATCGCATTTTTTACTTTTTATTTTAGTAAGAAATATATATTTTTATTGAAGCGGTAAGAATTTTTTTACAAAAAACAGTACTGTTGGTATTTTTTTAAAACTTAATTTACATTAAAAAAATTCAGTGAGTCATAATTATAATTATTATAATGTAGTGAGCACAAAATTTATAAAAATCCGCGGGGATCACAACTAAATAAAATGTTTTCGGTGGAATGACCCATATACTAAATCTAAGGTTAAGTGGTTTACATACATTTCTTATTTGATCACTGGGATTGCTGCACTTATGGAAACATGGAATTATTAGCCTGCTGCCTTTGAAACTTATACGTGGAACAGATGGCAATTAACAAATCAAGTAAAACCGAAAATTTGGCTAAGATACGACGACACATGCATCATTTGGAATAAAGGAAACGAGACCTTACAGGAATTATTCCACCACATCAACAAGATAAGGTAGGTGACCCATAAAATTCTCGATGGAAACCGAGAAAGTTAATGCACCACATATTTTAGATGTCCGGAGAAGTAATCTACAGGATCTACAGGAAACCAACACTACGGTTTCAACCATACAGAATCTACAAAAACAGGAGGGATACAAAGAACCTTTTAAGCACCAACGCAACACTCCAAACAGAAGTCAAAATCATAAAAAACCTAAAACGGAACTGATATTCTGAAAAAATTGTTGACAAAGTACTTAACACATTGAAAACGAAAACAAGAAATTTATTCTTTACATGAAGGAAGCATCAGAGAAGATCAAAAGAATTGCAAACAAATTCAACATACAAAATTTATATCAACAACCACAATAAGAAGCCTACTTACAAAAATATAACCTAAATCCCAAAAAGTTACAAGGAATTGCATTTACCAGGTGCCATGTAAATGTAGGAAGTATATAGGGAGACTAAGAGGCCATTGGAGATAAGACAAATTCGAAATGGCAGAACATGTTTGAATCAACATCACAGCATACTGTGGGATGAAGCAAAAATAATAGAAAAGGAAGATCAATGGTTTTGTAGAATGTTCAAAAAATTAGTACACATTCCTAATAACCTAAATATGTTTAACAATCCCAGTGTTCAAAAATAAATGGAAACCACTTACCAATCAAGACAAATCAACAGACCATAGTCGTTAAACCAACCGTAAATTAAAAGACCGTATACTCCTATAGACGTAGGACCCAACCTAAGGAACCACTTATCCTTACGTCCTAACACCCCAATTTAAAATAAAGACAATGCTAAAATTTACAGCAAATCATTCCGAAACATTGTCTACAACCTTAAAAAAAAACAGCAGGAAACTCTTATCATTGTTTAAAAATTTAACTCCTAGTTTACAAAATATTTAATATTTCATTTGAAAAAACCAATGTATGTTGTATTAACTATGGAAATATGCCTAAAGCATTAGCTGAAAAGGCACAAATAAAATGTGGAGCCGTATTCTAAATTATTATCAATTCAAAATTTTATTTCCAATAGTCCAACATTTTAAATTGCACACAAATCTTTCCAAAAAACAATATAACATATCTTAAGCCTGAACCCTGTTTACACATTTTGTGATGTGGCCAGGTAGGGGGGCGGAAAAACTACAGTACATGAAAGAAAATAAACCATAGGTTGCCAGTTAAACATGAATTTTATTAGTTGTCAGTAATTTTACTATTAACTGAATGAATAGATTTTGTTTTTTTATATAAATTAGGGTCAGTATCATCGAGCCTACACAAGATGTCCGAACTTAATAGGAAAATTTAACAAAACCTGCCCACTAAATTCCACAAATTAGGTCTTGCTGCTGTTTTGATAGCGTTTCGGTATAAATCAAATCGTCACCAAATTCACGAAGTGGCGTATATGAAGATTTGAGTTATGCAAAAAAGCAATTTTTTTAAATAAAAGTTTAGCATACTAAACACTTATTCCAGAAATTTGCTTTTTTGCATAACACAAATCTTCCGATACGGGTGTTTAAAGTTTTGTGTTATGCAAAAAAACCAATTTTCTGGAATAAACGTTTAAAATGCTAAACGTTTATTTCAGAAAATTGCTTTTTTGTATAACTTAAATCTTCATATACGCCACTTCGTGAATTTGGGGACGAAATAATCAACGGAACACCAGCGCTCTCTTATCTTAGGAAGATTTTTGTATACATGAAGTTCGGACTCCTTGTTTAGGCTTCACTAAATTTACCCAATGCTTAATTATAATAGTAACAATTATGTCAACAATTGTTACTTTGACAGTAATCTTTCTGGTAAATTTAAAGGGTGGTGAATATATTATAATTATAATAATTATAATTTTTATAATGTTATAATTATTATAAACTGCATAAAATTAAAAATGAAATAAATTAATATAGCTTAAAAGCTAATGGACGTTTTATAGACCTGTGACTAGAGTCAAGTAAAAATACAATAACAGTAGCGAAAAATAATTTACAGTATTAAAAAGAAAAAATGTAAAAAGGACATAGGTAGATACTAAAATACCTACGGGTTTATAATTTGCTTAAGTTTGTGTAGGTTTGGCATTCCTTAACACTTCATCAAATAAAATACAATAATAAGTAAAGTTTTTAAAAACGGTTTAATTATTCTATGGACTAAAAAATATAAACGTAATATTCCCTTTAAAAAAGTAAAAAAATAAAAATTTGATTTTCCAAAGGTCACAATTTCGAATCAAATATGTCGGTTAAGTAAATTCACTATAGTGTTGGGCTGGTGCAGGAAGATCGGCAGGCGGCGATAACGGAGTAACCGAAAAAAAAAGAAGAATAAAATAATAACAAAAATATAAAAAAGTTGAATGCGATGCCGGTAAAGTTTCCGGCATTTGCGAAACACTCTCGGTTTCGATCCCCCTCCAATCAGGTTGTCCCATTCACTCGGCGGACTCTGCGGTTTGTGCTTCGAGTCCAGTTGCTCTTCCGGAATCGTTGAAGAGCGCTCAGCAGCACGTTTGAATTTCGTTTTTTTTTAAGTGATTTTGAGTTTCAAACGGTAGTGCCGGGCACAAGTTAGCATGTGTTAACATGAGTTTTGTGGTTCCTGTGAGAGAAACGCAGCAGAAAATGGAATATCAGTTACCGCCGCCGCCTCCTGCAGCGGCCCCAAACCTTAACGGACACCAGGTACCCGTGGGAGTTATGCAGGGCACCCTTACGCACGTTCAGACGCAGGACGAATCGCACAGATGGACCCAGTACCAACAGCTCTGGAGACAGCATGTTTACATGAACGGTACTATATTTTAATATAAACATTATATTTTTGATTAAGTATTAAATAATAATATTAAAAATAATAATAATTCTAAATAATAAAATAGTATTTATTTAAAACCAGTATCGAGCTGTAAAATAATTAAATCCACCACTTTTTAATTTAACAAAAACAAAAATCCCAACTCCTCAAAAAATATTTGTTTAATAATATATTATCGAATAGTTTTTTGTAGGAAATCGTAAATTACTTGGTTTTATTTACTACCTGTTGATTCAATGTTTATAATGCTTCCTATAACAGCTGATTTCTGTATATTTTTAGTTTGATAATTCTATTTCGGTTTTAGAAAATGTCTTACTTTACTATTTTTGATTAATAATTACATTTTAATTCTGAGTAAAATATAGTTTTTACTCAAAATAAAACCCTGTTACCAAATGAATTCTAGACATGAAAAAATAATTTCCATACTTTCTTAATATGTATATTTTTACTAATAAAACATATAGTTTTATATATAAATACATTTTATTTTATTTATTGTAATAAAATAAGGCATTAAAACTTCTTTATTAAAACAAAAAATACAATAAATTTTGAAGCGGTAGAATAATTACGGAAACCTATTTGATGGTACATAGTAGTGGCCTTGGAACCTAATTTTTAATACATAATTAAATACTTTAAACACATGTAGATAAAACTATAAAGAATCATATTTCATACATTTATCCAAATATATTCTTAGACACTACATATGGCCTAAGCAAATATTATATGCCATAATTTTTGCTGAATATGATTTGCAAGAAAATATTTTTTTCAAATATTGATTTTAATATGAATATTTAAAAACAGTCCTATCCATCCAATCATTTATAGGAATGTATTTAAACTAATGTATGGTTTATCTATGGTTTCTAGTAGATGTCTTATGTGAGATCAAAGAACATAATGTACAAGGTCAAATTGGCAAAAGGATGCTTTATTTTTATACGCTATTAAATTGTTTTTTCATTTTAATTTCTAGTTTTATTATCTTGCGGAATGCACCACATTCATAAATTTTATACCGCATCTTAAGTAAAAAGAAAAAGTTAAATTTGTATGGTTAATAATTTAATAGTTAAAATGTATTTATTTACAATTTGATGGTTAATAAAATATTGCCTAATAATTATAAACTCTCTTAAAATGAATTAGTCAAAAATAACTAATTATAAGTCATATTTGACTAATTTTCATAGCGAAAAAGCAGTCACTAATAATTAGTCAAATTCTAATGAATGAAAAAGTCAAATGAGTAGATTTAAATTTAAAAAAAGTTTTGACCCAGCCGGGGATTGAACTCAGGTCTGTCACTTGTCAAGCTTGTCAAGCTGTTGTCATAACCCATTCGGCTGTCAATCGCTCTTATAAAAATCAATTTTATTTGTCAATAACTATTGTTAATTATATTTTAAAGTTGAATATATTATTTGAGCTGCTGTCATTTAACTATGGAGCTTAGGTATATGCATTTAATTCAAATAATACTTTGTTGTTGGCCGCAAACGATTAAGGAAATTTTAACTTTTAACTCTCAGAAAAAGTCAAAGATGGTGACTAATCTTAAATTAGTCAAACTTTAACTATTTCCGTAGTAAAAAATAACCATTTAAAAGTGAAAACGACTATTTTATTAGTAAAAAATGCTGGTACTAATTCAAATAGTAGAATTTTGACTATTTCATTTTTAGAGATAAGGTCTTTATAATATTAATGTTAATAAGTAATACAAAACAGTAGTAAATATAACAACATAAGATTTATTAGAAGGCAAGATTCAGCTCGTTTATTCAAATGGACAGGTCCAGTACTGTAACAGCAGTTCTACTCTTAATTTTGGCGAATGCGCCGGGATTTTTTTTTCGATCGTTAGGGTAACATCTAGAAAGCTTAAATAGGGGTTGAATTTGCGAATAGAAGCCGAATTTTTAATTCTATCGAAATAATAAAATAATAATAATAATAATATTAATAAATTAATCGGTTATGCAATATGCAAAATGTTTAAAAATATTATGTATACAAATTTATAGAACTGATTTTTTGTCAAAAATGGTATCAGCTGTTTTTTGATAAACAAAAAATATGACTAATATTCCAGAATTCACAATGAACAAAATAAAACCTAAATATTACGTTGCATTTTCTTATAAATAATACCTATTTAAAATTTGTATTAAATTAAATAACTTAAGAAAAATGTTTAATTTAGAAAAAAAAAAGAATTAGGTACCCTTTATTTTTTTAATATATTAAAACGCATTTTCTTATAAATGACCCTTTTTTAAAGTTTGTATTACATTAAAGAACTATTGTAACTAAAAAAACTAGTATAATTTAGAAAAAAAGATTAAGAATTACTTTATAATTAATATGCCAGCAAATTAAAAAAATCTTTCTTTTACAATAAACAGGGAGTCCCGAAAATGGCCCACTGACGCCATACCACGCTATTGGAGGTTATTCTAAGTTATTTTAAAACGCCCATTATCGTACGTGTTTTCATGACACTAAGTGATCTTTTAAATACACATTGACAAGCTATGGCTTTACGGCGATTTAGTCACGGGCTGAAGTTAGCAACAGGTTTTTAGTCACGGGCTGAAGTTAGCAACGTGTTTTTAGTCACGGACTGAAGTTAGCTTTAAGTTAGTTGACAGTTCAAGTCATACAAACGTTAAAATAAAGTGCCCCTGCTGTGAAATAATACTAAATGTAAAAATTATTATCTTATTACAAAAATTTAAAAGTGTTGGTTTTTCAATGCCAATATTTAAAAAGTTTTTACTGACCTTTTGATTTCGCAGCACGGTCTTATACAAGACTGTGGCCGGCAGTAAACTAGATTTAACGGATAAAGCATTAAACATTTTGGGTGCTCCACCGTGGAGTGCCCATAAAACATTCTCTTTACTTTCACTGTGAAAAACTGCTTCTATATCGGATTTACACAGAAAAGTTTGGAGAATGTTTTATGGGCAATCCACGGTTAAGTCTCCACCCGAAATTAAGTTAAATCTAGTTTACTTCCATCAAAATTAAAAGGTCAGTACAATGTTCATATAAAATTTTATTTAGAAACTGTTTAATACTTCATTTTATTTTTGTATTAAGATAATATTATTTTACAAGAAGAGCGCTTTTTTTAAAGATTGTATGACATTTGACAACTGTCAAATATCTTAAAACTAACTGCAGCCCGTGACTAAACATATCAATGAGTATTTAAAAGGTCAGTTAGTATCATGGAAACATGTGCGATAATAGACGTTTTAAAGGTGGAAGTGGAAAAAATACTTATTTGATTTTTAAAATTATATTTAATATAGGTAATAAAAGTATAAAAAAACAGTAACCATTGAACAGTAGGTAATCCAGTCAATATTTTATTTAAAATCGTATGTAATGTGCAGAATTTTGCTTACTTCAAGTTCTGGCAGAAGGTATTCATTGATGTGACGAAAGTAACTATTGCTGTTGTCAAAGTAATCCGTGAGGTCTTAATAGAAATTATATGATTTCTACTTTTTTTCCACATATACAACTTATAGTTATTATTGTATATCTCTTATAAACTCTTAAACAAAATTGCTGCATCTAGTTGATTTTGACTAAATTAATTCAAACGTATAAAATATTTTACCTAAAATCATTTATATTGTAAATAGTTGATTATTTTGCAAAAACGTTTCAAAGTGACCTTCACCGCCATTTTCTTTATATCCATCCGAATTGTTAGTACAATGAAAGGTGTGTTCTGTGACATTGTTAGATTTAGCTATTTAAAAATGCTAAAAATTAGACATAAATAAATCTAAATGGCAAATTGTCAATTCCTGTGATTGTACTTGCTTTGAAAATTTTAGTAATAAGGATTATAAAAAACGTATTTTAAAAAGCATATTGTTGTTTATAAAATTAGAAATACATCTAATATTAGATTGTTTCTAGGGAATCCCACTTCATAAATAGCGCTGTTTCAATACTTAAAATTTAACAATAAAGTTAATTTAACCGCAAAGAAAATAAATAAAACGTCCTTACAGTGCCATGTTTTGTTTTGCTGGATAATTAATGTATTTAGGAAATTAATTTTAATATATCCACATTTTTTTGTTATAAAATTAAATGCACAAGTTTAAAATTATTGGTACCTACCCATAACAATTCAAATTCAAATGGTTTTCAGATGTTTTATAACAGTTTGTGTCAAAAAATTATCTTTAAATCTTTATAACTTACATACCATACCTTTTAACCAAAAATGTAATTACAATGCCTTAGAATAAAAGGGGTATTAGTGCAGCTGCTGTGTTAAGCAAAAATGCCTTTACTACAATATTAAGTAGGTAATAAAGAATACAGTGGCGGCTGGTGGATTTTAGGTATACCGATATATCAATTATTAGACATGGGACCCACACCAAATTTATGAGATTATAATGACAAGTTTGCGAAAAAAATATAACTTTTTGTTCGGCCGTACCGGCCCCATGGCGCCCCCAATAAATATAATATAAATTTAATTGGTGCAATTTATTATTTACCAAAGTTTATCGACAAATTTTAAATTATATTTAAAAAATTGAAATCATACAGATTTTAAATCATTTTAAATTTTTATTATTTCTTTTCAAAGAACTTAAAGGATAAAAGATCATTTTTAATATTTTTAACATAACTTGGGCAAATTTAAAGTTTAAAAAATTACGAGTAGCTTTTAAGTCAGGCGGTAAAATACAATTTATTTATATAAAATTTTTATTTCATTTAATGATAGTTAATAAATGTCTAATGACAACAAAAATTAAAAGTTTATTTATGAATTAAATTAATTAATGATAACAAAGTTATGATGATTTAAAGTTTTAATTTTTGACACAAAATATTTGTCACAAAATTTGTTAACCATATTGACCGCTGCAGCGCGCTGAGGTGTTTTTGAATTTGTAAGATATAATACCTAT